AGGCAGTTGATCCCACCAACAAAGACAACATTGGGCATCACAGGTCTGGGGAAGTCCAGCACAAAGTCAGTGCGTAACAACCAAATGGCCACTGGGCTGAAAAGGTCTGTCATAGTCACTGTGGTCTGCAGAATTTCAGAGGCAACTTTTTCAACACTTTTGAAATAATAAGGGCAAAATGAAAGTTCTTCAATGTAGAGAAGATGGTTCCACACTCTCTCCTTGAAAGTCATGGTGTCTGTGAATGTTGACAAAAGTCTAGGAACATAAGAAGGAAGACTTGGGCACTGGGCACCCTCTTCGAAGTAGTGGCAAAATATACCTCTCGAGAAGATCACTGATGGGAGCGACAAATATTTGGCAACAATTAATCCACACATATCGAAAGGATCCAAAAACACAGCATCAAAGGAACTCTGCTTCAAGTACTCCACTAACTTCTTGTCATTGAACAAATTTCTACAGTGTGAAAATATTATGTCAAAGAAACCTTTGGCTGAGCCTGACAGGAAAGAACGCATACCATTTTCTGGAGTTTTCCATTGAGTGTGCGAAAAATACTTGAACTCACGATCCAGATCCTCCAGAGTGTGAGAAGTAGAGTATGTCTTCATTGTACAATTCAGTGATTTGCTCAGCTGCCAACTCACCTCTGGAACAACTACCACCACCTCATGCCCTCTGTGAATGAGTTTCTCCACAACCATCTGCATGGTGAGCCAGTGACTCCCATCCATGGGCACCACTAGTAGCCTGCCTGCCTGAGCCAAGCCAGAGGCCAGCAGCAGACACACACAGAGAGGAAGAAAGGCTGGAAAGTCTGCAGGAGCCATGGGAGAAGTGCAGCCTAAGGCAATCCAGGTGCTGAGACTCTGGGCTCTCCTAACACAGGAGAGAAAGTGTGAGTCAGAGAGAAACCTCCACCCTCAGGAGGGCATGTACTCACACAGCACTTCAAGACAATGATTTACTTGGGAGAACAGTAAAAACCGAACAAGCATTATTGAGAAAGATACTTGTTTGCTTTCCGGAGGAGAAGGGCATGTGACCTCTTTCTTGGGCAGAATCACACAATGTGAGCTTAGAAATAGTTACAAGGGGATATACTAGACCCTAGGGAGTCCAAATCTTTTACAAAAGGAAGTAAGTTTCAAAGAAGCTTACATTTTTAGAATTGGTCTCAAAGAAAAATCTAGACATTTTTTTTTAGGTGACTAGATTGACTCTGTTCCAAAGGGATCTGCTGCCTCTGTTTCCAAGCCTCAAGGGGAAGTTCCTGAGCCTGTCCTCCCCAGAGACAGTGAATCTACTCTGCCAGATGAGCAATGCTGCTGGTCTCTGTGCACATGCAGTGGGATTCTTGGTCCTTCTACAAACACTCTGTCTTCTGATTTGGTGACATGAGATTCACAACCATCTCCATGAACCTCTCCAGGGACTTAAAGGAAGATATCAAGCTCCTCACACCATCCCTCTGATGCTCCTGAAGCCATAGGCAGACATAGTCTATGGAGAAGCAGAGAGCCCTGCTGTGCTGTCCCTCAGTGCCTGGGCGAACTTCTCCACAGAGCTATGGCTCTGTCTCCCACAGCCT